TTTTTCTTTTTATATATACATATATATAGTGATCTTCCATAAAACTATCGTAAAATCGCAAATCTATGATCGTAAGTTACGTCTCTGTCGATTATCATTGTATCGTCGAACATAGCATCGTATCGATATAACATCGCTATTGTAGATTAATCTTTTATACAATATTTTCATTGTATTATATACAATTATAGCATAGTAATAATATACCATCGCTAGCCCCACCGTTATACACTGTATAGCTTTTACAAGCGTATTTAATGTCTTGACTCCCACATTTTACCCTTCACCACAATGTGAAAACATTTTCAAAATTTGTCAGGAAAGAGCAATAACAGGAATCAAAATCCCGCCAAAACAAACTTATACGTTGTTTACTACGACAAAGAGCTTAGACGATGGCAGCTTTTCCGGCAACCACATGTAGTATCCATCATGATGTTTCCGTTCATATTTAGAAAATATATCGGTCACAAACGATCGGAGACACGGGGTGTATTTGATTGCTCCCTCAACGATCGGTCCTGGTCATATCCTGGAGATGGGTATCAAACGAACGGGTCTGCAGAATAATCTACATATATAAGGTAAACAGACAGCCTATATGATATAAAAACAAATACAATCTAACGATCGTGACGTGACCCATCCTGTTTGCAATTTTCAGAGTGAAAAATGGTTTATTTTTTAATATTTGAGGATGTTTTAATTATTTTTGAGTGTATTTGAGTATATTTTATCTAAATTTTAGTGTATTTGAGTATATGTTATTTATTTTTGAGAGTATTTGAGTATATTTTATTCATTTTTGAGAGTATTTGAGTAGTTCACATTATTTGTATTATGATTATGATTGAGTATGATTTAATTGAATTTTAGTGTATTTGAGTAAAAAGTAAAGACGTGATGAAGGTTACATACGAATAAAAAGAACAAGATGTAGTTTTTGTATCCGTCTGTAATCGAATCCGGAATATTGCCTAGTTCACTGTTGTAAATTTGACGCACGTGTTGTTAAAAATAAACGTGCCTTGTTGCCATATGACAAACTGCATCGATGGCATCGCTTCAAAATCGTTGTAATATAAGAATATCAACATATCCTACAAGAAATTGTATGTATTTTGACGTATTTCCCCGCTTAGAAGATGACTACCGAATTCAAACGAATGACATTGGACATCTGCCGGTCCTCTCCGGCAAAGCAAACAAATACACCCACGATGTCTTCAATCGTGGTAGACAAAGAAATCCCCAGCAGTTTGTGAGGACGACCGTAAACGTCTTTATCCTCACGGTCGACCGACACGGGGTAATGGTGCTTACGGAAGCATACTGTAAATTATCGAACTCAATACACCCAGTACTTACTGCATAGCATCATTGGATAACTCCGACACTCCGAGAACGAAAAACAAGAATTAATAAGAATCTGATTTAGAACGCTCAGGGGTGAAATGGGTTCCGCCGTCTGCTGCATGTACCTTGCTTTATTCGGTCGAAAGCAAGAATTAATAAGAATACTCGAGATATTTGTAAGAACGCTCAAGGGTAAAATGGGTTTCCTTGTCCGTTTCATGTGCCATGTATTGTTTGGTGCCTTATCGATTCTTCCCTGTCATTGCAAGTGCGCAGGGGACTGTTAAATGGAATGATTTATTATTATTACCACAACTATTACCGTATTGTATTCGACCCCTGTGATTGCAACTATTTAGAAAATAAGTTGTGCCTCTCAAACCTTAAACTACATGATTCGGCACGTGGCTGACGTCAACCTCAGGAATATGGAAACATTGGCTCTTTGACTGCAACAACTTTGAAACTCATAAAATTTGCGTGTTTTTGGAAGAAACGGAGATAATATCGTTGGACCGAAATTACATATTGCATACACATAGGAGGTTTACGAAAGAAAAATTCACAATCTTTCCAACGGCACCAAACATTTTTTTAAACAGTTAGAAATGTGATTTTTGATGCGAAGAAGTTAGGTGGGGTCGCCTTTTCGGCATCGAGAGCTTTCAGCCTTTTCAAATATACCATCAATGGAGTGGCATTTTGACCGAAAACGTGTAAAATTACTGTGAACACCTTAGTTTAGGCCCAAATGAAACTGTAAAAGAAATCTCAGCTCCCCGCGGCCCTACCAACTCGCTACAACTACCTACACCCGTTGCAGGTGTAATGTTGTAAAATAGAATGCTATGCTAGGTGCCTTGAACATAATATTTCACTGAAGTAGCACTATAAAGTCGGCATCAGATCCGCGCTATCGCAAAGACACAAATCAACCACAATACCGGCTCCAGTACACATTCACGTATGCATAACAAACCTGGAGGCACGTCCTTGAATAACCTTGACTGTTAATAGCACGTTAAATCCAACAAATATCAAACCAAACCAACCTAACCCTCCTGCATATATATGAAAACCCTGCGGGGCTCCACAAACGTCAATAAGATAAACATCTTTTCTCATAAACATATACATTGAATGATCGATGGGAAACGAATCAAGCCAATCGTTGGTTCTAGTAAGAAAGTATGTCGCGGTAAAGTACAAGGAGAAATCTTCATCTGTCGTATCGAACGTCCAAATTATCAATTATCTATAGTAATTTGACTGTCCCTCATAAATCCAGAAACAGCTTCCATTAACGCGACAGATACATATTAAGTATACTTGGTCTAATTTCCTATTTCCATTTCAGAGAAAATGGAGGTGCCTAGACGATGGAGAGTTCCAATGTATCAAGAAGACGCCAAGATAACCACCCATTAACTCCCGAGAACGGAAATGATTTACTGGGCGTGCGCAAACAGATAATTTCGTGTCCAATGTAGCGTTTACGTTCTTTAATATTTCATGCAGTTCAGACAGTCATTTTGAGACCATCAAGGACATCACTGTCGTTTAAATTTGTGTTTTGCGTAAACATAAACCCACAATTAGAAAGACATTTATTTTGTAACCAAGAACAGCTAGTCTGAGTCAGTGTTATTTCTATGAGTGATGAGGGTACATGTATTCTAAATATGCTTGAATAGGTGTACACAACTTGAAAAGTGACTTTTCTACAGGAAGAAAATGGAAAACACTTCCAATTCTGCGTTGCTTGGTAACGCCAACAGAACCATTCAAAATAATGAAAGGAATGAGGAATTAGCACAAGCTGAAATAGGAGTGTCGTCTGCAATTTTTATTCTGGCAGTTTTCGGAAATTCAACTGTTTTCCTGGTGTTTCTTCTGCGCAGGCGCAGTCTCACGCGAATGCATCTACTAATGTTACATCTAAGTGCAGCTGACCTTTCTGTCGCTTTCTTCAACGTGCTGCCCCAACTCATCTGGGATGTGACGTATGTCTTTTACGGAAATGACGTCATATGTCGCTTTGTGAAGTATTTCCAGCTCGTGGTTGTGTATGCTTCGGCGTACGTGCTTGTGATGACCGCCATTGACCGGTACTTCGCCATCTGTCGACCTCTGGTCTCTCACCAATGGTCATCCCGGACTGTCCACTACATGGTAGCTATTGCCTGGATCATATCACTTATCCTTAGTCTTCCACAAATTTACATATTTTCCTACATGGAGCGGACACCAGAAGTGTTCGACTGTTGGGCCACATTTGACCCGTCGTGGACTTTGGAACTTTACATTACGTTTAATTCAGTGACCGTATACGTCATACCGATCATAATTTTGACTTTTTGTTATGGGCGGATGTGCTATGCCGTCTGGAAACGAGGCAGGGTTGGGGAACAAATAGTATCATCAACAAATATTCAATGGAATCATACAGATATGTCGGAGAAAGCTAAAAATAACCAGGGAAACGACCAAGTCGGAAAGGGAGATTTACATGGAAGTTATCAATACAGGAAGGGAGGTAGTTCTGACGGCCATAGTCGCCATGGACAGCCAAGAGGCGCTATACCACGTGCGAAGGTTCGCACAGTTCGACTGACACTAACAGTGGTGTTTTGTTTCTTTGTATGTAGCTCTCCATTCCACTTCGCTCAGCTGTGGGCTGCGTTCGACCCGTATGCACCTTTCACTAGTAAGTAGAAAATTGCCAAAATGTTCTATAAATTGTGTCTTGCAATTTTACAAGCCATTTTGATGAGTTTTTCAAGAGCATTCCGTAGATTTTGAAGATGGAAGAATGAGTAAGATAACGAATACCCTATACAGATTTTTATTTGCTAAATTACAGTGTTAAGCGTATTTCTATCCCCAATCGGGATTCGTCGGCACTTTCCGTAAACGAAAAAACACGGTTTTTATGTTTACGGAAAGCGCCGACAATTCACAATTGTTGCTATTCCCTGATACGAGGGTGTTATAATGCATTTAGTGATCGTGATACCAGACGCTGAGTTCTGTAATGATAACAGATGGTGTCTCTACGAGATTCATCTAGAAATATGTTTATAAAAGGTTTCACAACACGCTGAAAAACACATGTTGTGGACTTATAGTGTTATTATGACTACTTCGCATTGTGTCCACGACAGTCAGAGACCATACCCCTATCCTGGTGTAGGCTCTCTCCCCGTCTCTGCAAGGTCACTCAAAATTTAGTAAATGGCCTTTTTAACATAGTTCCGAAAAACAACAGCAAATCTACAATACAAGCTCAAGGATTATATAGAGTTATAAATACGTTGTTCTAAAGCACACCAAGTGCTGTACCCGGGCCATCCAAGGCCCCTCCGGCCGAGGCCTTTCCTGGCCTCTCTCTCAAGAGGCTCACATCCCTGAACCTCGAATACCGACTTTCAACTCTAGAATCCCTATCAAATTCTCCCCCAAATACTTTTAACAGTCTATACAACATTAACTATTCATGAGCGTATAATAAGACA